AACCCGCCTCGGGCGCATCGCCCATCCCAACCCCGCGTCTTTCCCCCTTGTGTCCCGGGGCAATGTGCGCCACAAACAACCACAACCACCACTGGACAGTCCTGTTCCCTTGTGTCCCGGATCCGCCCCCCCGCAAAACAACCCACGCGCAAAGCCGCCGTGAAACACACACTCAATCAAACACTCCCCCCATCCAGCAAAGACACTGCAGGCGGGCCCCGAAAGCGGAGAGAAATCACTTGCCCGCTAGCGTTAGGCACCAAGGCTGGCACCCCATCGTCCCAGCCACCGGGCAGCCCAATTCCACTCGGCCCGCCCGCAGCGCCTTCTGCCTGACCCGAGCGCGCAACACCCGAGACCCACGCCGGGGTGGGGGCAAAGATGACGGCGGGGGCAGCTTAAGACTCCCAAATTACCGTCTCATAGGCAACGAATATTGCTTCCTTCTGCTCCGCCGCCGCCTAATCTGATTTTCGAAGGCAAAATACAATCTCTTAAATTAATAGAACCCCTCCTGGAAATTAAGTTCCTGCCTCGTAGGGCAGACACACACACAAAGACACACACAGAAAGACACACAGAGACACACACATACAGAGACACACATACACAGAGAGGGACACACACACAAACACAGACACACTCATACACACATACACAGAGACAGACACACACAGAGAGACAGACACACAGAGAGGGAGACACACAGACATACACAGAGAGACACACAGACACAGAGACATACACACACTCATACAGAGACACACACACACTCATACAAAGAGGGAGACACACTCAAACACACAGAGACACACACACACACACAGATGCAAACACATACAGAGAGAGAAAGGGAGAGAGAGATACACACAGACACAGACACAGACACAGACACACACACATTCAGGGAACAGAGCCTTACGTTGCATTGTGAATCCAGCAGAGAAGAGGCGATGCCTTTAAAACGGGCCTCCAGGGCGCAGCGTCTTCCCTGGATTTACCTGCAGGCGCTGACCCCCATTTGAATTTTGTACTGTGCTTTGTAACCCCTCCTGTCACTCCTCCCTCCCCCCCAAAAATATCCAAACTGCCTGTGACCCCGGGCCCGGCTCTGCCTCGCCCGTCTCTCTCCCTCGCTGCCACCAATTCTATAATTAGGCCCGAGTCAAATATTTCTGGTCCCAGCCCTTCCCCCGAACCAATCAGGGGTCCCCCTCCATCCTGGGTCTCTCTCCAAATCACGCCTGACAATTAGCACGGGAAAGGCTGCGGTAAACGTGGGGGAGGGGGGTTCATTCGCTAAACCGGTTTATTTTTAGACCCGGGTCACTTCAGCTTCTCTCCGTGGTGTCAGTTTTAAGAGCTTGGAAAGGGGGGGGCAGTCACGTGGGCCTGGGGGTTGTCACCCCCGGATGGCGGGTGCCCAGCAAGGAGCTGCCTGGAGGAGAGTTAGTTGTTCGTTCCTCGAACTTTTCAGGACTCAAGAGTCGAATTGTCTCGGTCAATCGGGAGTCGTTCGTCCAAAGAAAGAATGAATCCAACAGCCCGGCGAGCTGGCAGGAGCCTTTCCTGGCGCCTGACCGCGGCACCTGTGTCCAGAGACCGGCAGGACAAACGCCTAAGCCAGGGCATGTGGGAGTTAGCAGGACCCCAGGTTAGCTGACCTCCGGCGCAAGCCGATATCGGGCTAGAAACGTGTGTGCCATGTGCCAGGTGCCAGCTGCCAGCGCCCAAGCCACACAAGCACACTGCGCAACCCACAGGGAAAGGGACAAGCCTGGTTTAGTCACAAGCCACGTCCGGGTGGGACGGTGTCTGTTTCTATTCTAAGGGACCAGCGGATTTACCCAGCGTGGTCTGTAGCACAATTAATTTTTTTAACTTAATTTAAAAAAGTTAAAAAATGATTTTTACGAACTTTTTTTTTTAAACTGGTGATTTCAACCCATTTTCGTTTGCATTTCTCATTTCTGTCTCCTTCATGTGTGTACTTGGAGTTTTCTGTGTCATCTATTAGCTCTTTTATTGGAGGGTGTGTTTGATCAAGAACTCCCCTAAAGGTAAGCGCTGGGACCAGGAAACCCTCCCATTCCAGGGACCTCCCGTTTTCTAAAATTGTTCTCCTTGACCCCTAATGTCAGGACAGGAAGCAAGGGGCTTAAACTGCTGCAAGGGAGGTTGAGGTTGGACTTTAGGAAAAACTTCCTAACTGTCAGGGTAGTCAAACACTGGAAGCAATTACCTAGGGGGGTTGTGGAATCTCCATTTCTGGAGATATTTAAGAGCAGATTGGATAAATGTCTATCAGGGATGATCTAGACAGAGCTTGGTCCTGCCATGAGGGCAGGGGGCTGGACTCGATGACCTCTCGAGGTCCCTTCCAGTTCTAGGGTTCTCTAGTTCTAAAAGAAGGTAAAAGATTCAGGGAGGAATGAATTTGGCGAGACACTGAGGCGCATTTGCAAACGGCACCGCTCTCCGGCCGGGTTTGCCCAAGTCTAACACTCCCGGAGGTCGCATTTCTCGGGGGAGGGGAAGATGCGGGGAATGTGCGTTTCCGTCCCGACTCTCTTCCGAGATCCGATCCGATTGTGGGTCCGCCCTGGCCCAGAAGCCGGGTCTGGCCCGTGAAGAAATAGCCAAGCGAGCTGCAAACGGAAAGAAGATTCGGTTCGCTCCTCTCCGGGAAGAGGGAAGGTCCCTGGGCGACTTCGTCCCGGAGCCGGGCAGGGCTGAGCGCTTCGTGCGGTGAAAGCCGCGCAGGTCGAGCTCGCTGCTCAATTATTTATCCGCCAGCCTCGCCCCACGCCCCATCCCTGCGCCTTTTGTTCGCACGGCGAGCGCCTGCTAAAACTTTCCTGGCCTGCTTTCCTACGGAGCCTCTGCCTAGCGGCGGGGCACGGACGCGGGGGGTGGGGAGGGAGTCATCGGGTTCAGACCTGAGCAAGGGGCAGGAGTGAAGGGGCCCCGAGGCGCTGCCTTGAGCCCCCCCCCTTTATTCTGGGGCTGTTTGCACCCCGAGATCTCGCCGTTCGTCCAGACCTGGGCGCGTCCAGGCTGCGGCCTCGCAGGGCCAGCGAGCTAACTGGAGCCCTCTCTGCGGGGGTGGGGGCCAGTTGGGAAGGGGGCCAACTCCAGGGAACCGGGTGGTAGAAAAACCCCTTCCTTGGCCGAGCCCTCGTTAGCCCGGGGAATCGAGCCCTGAATTCGAATCGCGAGAAAACGAGCTGCTCGGGCCCGTATCGACGCCCCGGTGCTTCTCGAGAGGGGGGGTCCACATGGTTCTAGCGCGGGGCCGAACTGCACGGAACCAAAGGGCAGCCTGAACCGTTGCGCTTTTATTCCGCGGCTTGGACTCCAGGTCCCCGCCAGCAGCCGCCCGTCCGCGGATCCGAACGACACCTTTCAAGCCGCCCGGTTTCAGCACGCTCCGGAAGCGCGCGGGGC